GTGTGTGTGTGTGTGTGTGTGTGTGTGTGTGTGTGTGTGTGTGTGTGTGTACGTGTGTACATGGTTTCTCTTCTATCATATTGAAAGAATTGCTCAGTTTAACTTTCACTCCTTGTTAGCCTCTGACTTTCCAACTTACAAGTTAAATGTAATCAAGGTATGGCAACGTGGCTGGGACTGACGTGATCTGTGGTTTCAGGTAGCTCTGGGGTAGTGAGTTAGATCTCTAGCAGAGGAGAGTATTCCTGTGTGCCTTCCCTGCCTGAAACACAGCTCCAGCCTAAAATACTGTTTGTGCAAAGGCTTCAGCTGTGATTTTTCACTCCATCCCAAGGAAATTATTTCCGATTGCTATTTTTATAATTTGGGTATGGGCAGCTACTAAATTGAAAAAGGGGTTGGACTTTTGGGGTTCCTTGAAAATATCATCAGGGTTCTCCATTTCAGTACATCGGGTTCAGTTAGCATGACTCGTGCTGTAAGCATGGCCTACCAGAGAAGAGCCGCAGGATGCGTCTGACTAGAAATTTTAAGTTGTATTTTTAGTAACCATTTCCTTTATCAGCCTTTCTCAGGGAAATCACACTAATTTTAAACAGGAGGCCTTTAGAATTTTTTTCTAATTGGTAGCAAATAGGCAAAGCAGTAGCAGGAATAGTTGCACACTCCAGCTAAAAAAAAAGTACCTTCCAGATTGTCATTTGTTTGCTTCTGCCTTCTGTCTACTTGTAAGACTTAATTGCATCCCCCAAATGTATAAAAGCACAAAGAGAAAGAAAAGTGGACTTTGTAAGGCGCTGAGGGGAGTATTCCTCAACTTCCACAGTGTCTACTAACCAAACGCGCAGTGAACAGAGTCTGAGTCAGAGGCTAGGCTGATCCCCTTAAAGATTGGCGTGTCCCTTTTTTATGCAATCAGGGCTTTGATGTATTCTACTGTGAAGCACTCGTAAGATTATGAGGTGAAGGAGTGATGATCGATTTGAGAAAAGAAGTAACATTTAGGCCGGACCCATGACAGCCCAGCTATTTCCGCCAAGGCAGCTGGGTGAATAATGCAAAAGCCATGTTCCCCCTCGCGTTTAATCTTGCATTGTTTTTGCAGAGAACATTTCTGCTTGCCTTCTAAGTCCTGTCATCTTTGGTTGTCATCCCGTCCCTCAAACCATCAAAACGGTATTAAATGTTGCAAAGCTGGGCAGCGAGAGAACTTTCAAAAGTCAGAATCCATTTGCTAAGCAGCCCTTGTAGAAAATGTATTCTGTCCTCGGCAGAATTTTCCTTCACTTCTTTCCACTGAGAAGTTTACTGATTTCTCCCAGTGGAATCTGCTGGAATTTATCGGTTCATGGTTGGCAGTCACAGATTAAGGTAAATGTCGATCCGTAATGACCCTCTACATGTTAGCATTTCAGTAAAGCTGGGCTTTTATGTCAAAGATATCGGAGAGGGAGCTATTACACATGACAGGGGTGATCAAGGGACTCCAGACCAAGGCAAGCATTATTAAATATTGACTAGTTCCGTGATTTATGTAGAGCTGGAGGAAAAAAGTGACTTTTTAACCATTATATATTCTTCAGCAACGAAAACCAGCCATTTATCTCCTGCCGGTAGTGAAGGACAGAGTGCCTGCATATTTTAGTGGCGGGAAAACCTAGTCTTATAACTGAGATGAACTCCTCCGTGATAACATTTCAGCTTGTTAATTGCCAAAAGCAAAACAGACAAATTGGAAGCAATTACAAGGCATGACTTAGAGAGTCCTGGGGTGTGCGTGTGACTCGGGGTTGAAGGGCCAAGGTGGCAAGTGGAGGGGCATCTTGGAGACAGCCCAGCAGCCGTCTTTTCTTGCTTCTTGTCACTGGAAGACTCCCATCCAATGTCAAGTACAGGGCTGTGACATCTTGTCCCGTTGGCTATCGGCAGCCAGGTGGCATTTACACTGAGGAGAGAGAGGTCTATGTGGCTCTTCAAGAAAGGAATTAAACGTTAATTCATCAAAGTTATAAAAGAGATCGCCTGCTTCCCAGAGTTAGACAAGGCTTACTGAATTGTCAGACGGCTAATTGGTTATTTCCTTGACATGATGAACAACTGTGATGGCTGCTGAAGAAGAGTTAGTGGTTAGGAGTCCCAAGACAGGAAGGAACAGGTGCCAGCACCGGGGCCATTATTTTTCAAGCCAGGACAGCCAGCTCTCTGAGCACCCACCCAGGAACCTTGCGCCATGTGACAACTCCAGTGGCGAGCCAAAAACTTTACAAAGTCAGAGCCGCATTTTGTAACTAGTTAGGCGGCATATATCAGACGATTTTCTTTTCCTAAAAATTATCCTTTCATCAGATGTTATTTTCTCATGAGTCAAAATTTAAAAGACAAAAATGAAAAGCAGCCAATGCTTCCAATCTGTTCTTGAGTCTTGGAGAAAACTGGAGTGTGCAGTGTCTTTCATCCACCTGTCTGACTGTCTCTCCATCTACCTATCCATCCCTGCGTTTATCTACACGTATTCCTCCGTATAAGACTGTATTTCTTCTTCCCACACATACAACTTCTCACACAAATGATACCAAGCTGTGTGCTTGGCCATCAGTTGTTTTGTCTAAATCAGTCATTTCAGCGATGTTGCAAAGAGAATTCATTAAGAACCTGTTTTTACACATACTCAGTGTGTTCATGCGCCTTCGTTATCTAACTGGTTCCCTATTAATAAGACATTTGACTAAGTCTTTGGTTATATAAATAATGATGCAATGGATTAATATCCCAATTTATACCTCTACAGGTATATTAATTAGTGAGATGAATTCCTTAAAATGCATTGCCTGGTGGGAGAAATAGTGGGAGAAAAGAGCAAAATGAAAAAAAAAAGTTATAATAAAAGCATATTGTCTGGCCAAAAAAAATGCACAGTAAGTGTGTCAGGGACTTCAGATTTCACTGCACAGCTTAGGGAAAGTGTGGGCCTGCCACACATCTGATCAGCATCTTGCCACACTGACCTTTGCCAGCCCTGCTACAGAAAACAGCACCTGGCAGCACCTGAACCTGCTTTTCTCTTGTCTGTTCTTGGTGGGAAGAAGTGTTCGTATGTAAAGCATTTGGAAAGGAATTCTTCTGGGAATTCATTCTTTGCCAGCCTTTGTCACCTCGTCTTCCTGAGCTGTAGGATCTCCTAAAATATTAGGAAAGCCTGCTGTAAACACTGCAGGTTTTCCCCTCGGTGTCTTCCCTAGCACTTACAAGCATTCCCTCGCTCAATCCACTTGGAGTCTGGACTAACTGGGCACATAGTGCCCAGTTCAGACACTGAGCACCCCTTTGTTTCAAAAGTCATTCTTCAATAATCCACCCTGTCCCCCAGTGGATGAAGAACCCACCCTCTCCACCTTTGCTGTAAGCTCTTGCGGGCAGAGCTGCACTTGAATCTACGCTTCTAGCTTTTATTTCTTAGGGTCAGTGTTTCTTTCATGGAATTTTCTTTCTTATATTCTTTTAGACAGTGTCTATCTATAAAGTCCCAGCTCCCTGGAGAGTTTCTGGTGCTGTTGTTATGAGGGTGGAGCACTGATGTGTTGTCAGCAGGTACAATTACACCTTTGTGGTGTTGAGTTTTTGAATAAATGATAGGATGACATTTTCTGTTGGCCCTCTATCTCTCATTTTCCTCAATAGACATGTATAGTTTTCCTGTTTATTTTCCCATGTTTTGTAACTAAGTATAGTTTTATTTATCTGTAAATTGTGGCACATGCACTCAAATGTTAAGGTCACTAAGTAAGCAACCTTAAAAAGCGACTTTTAAGAAAATGACTTGCAGTCTTCACTCTCAAGTCAGTATCCTCTGGACCCCTCCTGTACCAGCACGAACCTGTATGCACCTGGTAATGAGTGTCCATCTCATGCCTGCGTACACGTAACTGCAATGCTTGCTGCAAGCATTTGCTGTCAGAGGAATATTGCTAAGTAGAAAATGCCTGCTAAGTTAGACTTTAACTAATTTTTAACAAGGTCTATAAAACAGCACCAAAACATGGAGCCGGAGGATGTGTGCAAACAGGTGAGATGAGACAGGTATATACTAGCCAGTCTCTTCTCAAGCCCGTGAGGCAAGAACTGAGGTGCCGGGATGACAAACAGACCAGAGTTAATCAGGGAAAGATGTAAGGGAAGGCTGGACTTCCCCCATCTCTTATAGACATGTGAAAACACAGTAAACGAAGGGCCGAGAAGCACAAATAACTATGAATTGCAAAATTGGGTGCTTGTTCTGGGCTGGGAAGTGGAAGACTACACTTCCTGCCACCTGAAGTAAGATTTAGCACTTAGTACTTGGAAATGCATCCGCTTTGCCTCGTCCATGCAATTCAAGAAGCAAACAATGTGAGTTCAGTTTCCTAGGGTGAGTAGGGGCCATCCATTGGCCTGCAGTTAACGCTCCATTTACAGGCTCTTGGGACTGAGTCCCTCATCTCACAACCCACAGTTCAGTAGGAACAAACACTGTGTCCCTCAGTGTTTGTTGCTGTCTCCTCCGTATGTATTCATTAATGTGTTCATTCTAGGTCCATAATAGCTTCTCACTTATTTAATTTGTGCTATTTTTAAATGAGAAGAATGTGTGAATTCAATAAAAACTACAATAAATTATACCAAGTAACAGAAACTTGCCTCACATGAACCTGGCTTCAAAATCACAAATGATAATTTATTTAACCATATACATGAAAACCATCTGTGCCAAGAATTTCAGTAGACGTTATCAGTATTGTAGAGTCTCCAAACATTTGCAACTGAAATATTATAAAACTATCCAGTTACCAAGATAGGAAACAGAGGGGAACTGCATGAAGAGAAAAAGGAAAGGGCTGGATTCCTTCAGGACATT